GCAGAGGGAGAGGGACAAGCAGACTCTGCGTATAGCACAGAGCCTGATTCAGGGCTCAATCGCACGACCCTGAAATCATGACCTGAGCTGAAATCAAGAGTTGGACTCTTAACCAACTGAGCCACCCAGGCACCTCACACTTTCTCTTTTCACAGTTGAATAGAGCTGGTTTCATGGGAATTTCTCTTTCTTGAGGTTTTGAGGCTAATTTTCTGGTGATATTTCCTCCTTCTATTTGAGGAACCCGCTTTAAAAAGCCCTAATCACTTTCTTTGTAAAAAATTGATATATGATTGACATATAACATTATATTAATTTCAGGTACACAATGTAATTATTTTGTATTTGTATATATTGCTAAATGATCATCACAGTAAATTTTATTAACTTATATATCTGTCATCAGTTACAAAATTTTTTTTCTTGTGATGAGAACTTTTCAGATTTACTCTCTAGGAACTTTCAAATAAGCAATACAATATTATTAACTATAGTCACTAGCCTGTACATTATATCCCCATGAGTTATTCATTTTATAACTGAAAATTTGTACCTTTTGACCCTCTTCACCCATTTTGCCCTACCTCCCACCCCCAACCTCTGGCAACCACGAGTCTGTTTTCTGTATCTATCTACTTTTTTTTTTAAGATTTTATTTATTTATTTGTTTGTTTGAGAGAGAGAGCACAAGCAGGTGGAGCGGCAGGCAGAGGGAGAAGCAGGCTTCCCGCGGAGCAGGGAGCCCGATGCGGGGCTCGATCCCAGGACCCTGGGACCACGACCTGAGTTGAAGGCAGACGCTTAATGACTGAGCCACCCAGGCGCCCCACCCCTTTAATATTTCTTGCAGGGCTTGTTTAGTGATCACAAATTCTTTTAGTTTGTTTGCCCTGGAAGCTTTTTCTCTTTTCTTCCATTCTGAATGAGAGCCTTGCTGGATAAAGTGTTCATGGCTGCATGTTTTTCTCCTTTAGTACCCTGAGTATATCATGCCAGCCCTTTTTGGCCTGGTAGGTCTCTGCACCAATCCTCCCCAGGGAAAGAGGGGGGAAAATCTCACCAGGTCTCTGCTGTTCACTGGGCCCCTGCTCTGGGAGCGGTTGCCCAATCCTGTGTGCACCCGTGCCGCTCCTCCCAGGGAGGGAGGAGGGCCACTCCTCTTGCTGGGCCCCTGCTTGGACAGGCGGTCCCTGATCTTGCCACGATTCACAGTTTATTGCAACAGCTAGCTGAGAGCCCACTCCAGGGCTCACTAATTGTAGTCGGCTTCCCTGATCCAATGCCTGGGAACTCTGCCACACTCTGGCACCCTTGTTCTTTCTGTGACCCTGGGAATCCTGAGACCAACTGTCCCACTTACAATTCTGCCCCACTTCACCACCTGCGCACCTTTCAGGCAGGGACATTCCTCACAGGAGCAGACTTCTAGAAGTTCTGATTTTGCATTCCATTGTTATATCACTTTTCGGCAGCCAGCTTATAGAGGTTCCCTCCCACTGCGGTTTATCTTCTGATATATCCCCTCAGATTCACTTCTCCACACCTCCTAGCTTGCAAAAAGTGGCCACTTCTCCATTTGTAGAATTGCAGTGATACTTTCCTTAGCGCTCGGGTTGAATTCACAGGTGTTCAGAATGATTTGATAGATATTTAGCTGAATTCAAGTTCAAGGGACCAGACGAATTGAGCGTCCCCTACTCTTCTGCCATCTTCCCTCCCCATCTATAACTTAAATATTTTTCACGTCCTCAGGCATACTGTGGCAAATAGAAGAGAGTTTGTCATTATAGATTTGTTTGAATTTTTATCTATTAATGAAAAAAAGATGACATATGAGAGGAAGCAATAATTTTACAAATAGATAGTTACCCTTTAATGTTTAGAAAATATTTCCTTTCTTGGACACAAATCTAATTGTAATGGCACTCTCCTCTTCCTTCTTCAGTTTTGCAGACTCCAACTGTTAGCAAACACATATCTACCAAAGGTCCAGAAAAGCTAAAACAACCTAGAAGCATTGACTGTTTTACAGGTAATTAAAATTGGGATAAACTGTTTTAAAACAGTTTCAGAAACTGTTTAAACGTTTCTGAAAACTTTTAAAGATAGTTTTCGTGTTTCCCTTTTGATAAAATGTTTTTCTGTTTCAGAATTGAATGTAATGAATAAAATAAGGAAGAATAAGCTATCCAAAGCAATTTACTTGATGCAGAAAGCTCTTCTAATATTTGAGAAAGATGCGGCCTCTACATCTTCACACAACCTTTTGATGGTAACAACATGCCATTCCTTTTTTTAGTCCTGACATATCACCTTTGTTAAATGAATGATTTAGTTCACTTTGCTAAAAATAATGTGTTGCCCTTAACATTAGATTATGAACTTTCAGGTTCCCTATATCTAGTCTTCTCTTTGAGTAGAACAGTTTTGAGCAGGGGCACTAATCTATATTACTAGTCCCTGACTCTCCTGAAATGAGAGAGCCTCTCTCTGTAGGGACAACTTACATTGGAAGCCAAATAAAATCAGAAGGATTAAAAATGAGGGAAACTATAGAACTTACGTGACACTATGCTTAGTATAATGCATTCCTTACAATGGAATTAAGATACTTCAAGTCCATTGACTCAGAGGCCTTCTCTCAGATGGATATTGCTAATTTATATTTTACTCTCCCTGGAAATTGTTCTGTCTTCTTACCGATTCATTGTATGTTGATTTTAGAATTTAAATTCTTGAGGGTAATCACATTTCAAGCTAGAGGATTTTTAAAAACTTTGTGTGTATTACCCATAAAAATTTGGTGGTATTGGCTGAGTGAATAGCACATGGTGAAGTAGAGAATAGTGCTACAAGTAGTTTAGCTGATAAGAGAAAGAAAAACGTAGGTCAAAGCTAGAGAGAGGATACAGAGTTTAAGAAGAGTTTAAGAGAAAAAGTTCCACATATTTATATAATGAGTATGAAGAGCCAGAAGAAAAGAGAGAAATTGAAGATATGAGAGGGGCTAATAATAGAGCACAGTCCTATTAGAACAGGGAAGGAGATGAGTTTGAAAACATAGATAAAGTGATTCATCTTCAGTGGAGGGTAGGCTACTGGGCAGACTCCTCATCCTCTGATACAAAAGGGAAGGAGGAACAGATCAATGTAGATTTGAGTAAGTCTATTGGTGTGGCGGCAGAGAGTTGAGTTTATGCCTTTTATGTCAATCATCTGATAAAGTAGGAGGCAAGGATATCTGCCAACAATGGAGAGCAAGGGTGGACAGTTGGACTGAGGAGAGAAAAGATAGAGAGTGGAGTGGAATGGATGAGGAATGGATAAGGGAGCTGACAAGGAAGTTGAAGAACTGGCCAGCACAAAGTTCTAGCTGAAGTTGAAGACCATGAATTTATACTGGGCCCCATCTGCATGGTGGTATGGCATTACCCTGGTGTAGTATTTTTAGTAGCTGTGACAGCAGAATATTTGTGACAGCAGAGATTTGTACAGGGCTAGATTTTTACAAATGAAAGTATGGGTTAAAAGTTCTTAATAAAAATGGGTACAGATTGAATAGGGAGGGAAGTGATACCTTCATGGTATTTAAAGACTTGGTGAGCATGGAAATGTCAAGAGACTGGACATCTCTTTGAGGTCAGGGACCAGAAAATCAGAATCTGAGAGAGCTGGAAGGATAAGTGTTTGAGGTTAGAAAGTAAGATATTGGAATTTAAGATTTCTGATATGTAGCACTTTCTGATCATCTGTCCATTACCTCATTCATCCAACAAATGTTTTTGAGTACTTATGATCCATTCAGCAAATATTTATTGTACATTGACTGTGTGTCTGGTATTATGCTGAGTACAGGGGATAAAAACAAACAAAAACAAAAATCCTTTATTCAACAAATATTGATGGATTGCTTTCTTTTTGTGGTCCCTGCCTTCAAGATAAATCCAGTTTGTGGGAACATAGACAAGTAAGTAGGTAATTGTGGGTTACTGTCATAGATACTTTTTTTTTTAAAGATTTTATTTATTTATTTGACAATGAGAGAGAGCACAAGCAGGGGGAATGGCAGGCGGAGGGAGAGGGAGAAGCAGGCTTCCTGCTGAGCAGGGACACCGATGTGGGACTCGATCCCAGGACCCCGGGATCATTACCTGAGCCAAAGGCAGTTGCTTAACCAACTGAGCCACCCAGGCACCCAGTGTCATAGATACTTTAACTGCAAGAATTCCAGGGGAATTTAGCAGAGGAGTACCTAATCAAACAGTGGGTAATATGTAAGGAAACTTCCAGAAAAGAAATCATGAGGTTGAATACTGATAGGCAGGAGTAGCCAGAGAAAGAGGAAGAAAAGGGTGAAAAGGACTTTATAGGAAGAGAAAACAACATGTACAAAGTTCCTGAAGCTAGAAGGGTCATAGAGTTCTTGTGGTCCTCTAGGTCATTCAGTGTCATAGAGGCACAGATGAAATGGCAAAGGGGAGAGGGGGCTGTTGGGAGAAGAGGGTAAGAAGTGAGACCAGAGAGGAAGTCTGAGGATTTTGGGTGGACAGATGCTATTAATGTTCAAGGTTGGAAAGTCTGTCCTGGCAGTATTAGGGAAGACCCCTATTATAATTGAAATTCCAGCATTTGAATGAAGGAGTTTGATGATGGTGTTGGACAGTCTCAAGGCCAAGTGGTGACTGATCTTTGTTGGAAGACTTTGGTGTGTGTTCAGATCCATTTTCTCAACAGATGCTTCTGTGGCCACTTGCTACAGTCTAGTGCTTGGAGGATACTAATACTTCAGTCCTACTTATATGTCAAATAAAACTTATCTTTCTTTTTTAGAACTGTTCTCTCAGGAGTAATCTTGTGGCCTGTCAGAGCTGGAGAGAATAAAACCTTTGGGATTTTCCTTTTTGTTTTATTGTGACTCAGTCTGGTCCTTATACTGTCGTAATATGCTCATTCCTGTTAGGCCTCTGTCTTCCTACCACTGACACTGGGGGTCACACTGGAGATGTGACAAGACTACAGTTTTTACATCTTTTTCTTCTCTTTCTTAAATGAAACTATTTTAACTTAAGAAAAATTGTAAGTATAATGTCCTCTTAGGATAGACTTATGAGATGCATGTAGAGGCTCTATTTTTTATGGGGCGTCCTCCCCAAGGATTTTCACCAACTAGGCACACGTGGAATATTTATTTAGAAGTCCTGAAACCTATGGCCACCTCTGCTCCTCAGCAGTAGTTTTTTATCCAAGTGTTAAGGCTTAATGATCAGTCCTTAGGGTACTCTCGTAAACAATGATGTTATGGCTCAAATAATTGCCAAACTTTCTTTCTTTAAAGAAGACAAATAAATTTCTTTCCCCTGGCAATCATTTTCTACTGGGGTATATTACAGAATGTTTTACATTATCATGATCTTGTAATAAAATTATCCCCAAATCAGTAACTGATGCATCACCTGGTACCATAAAAAGGTTTAAAAAGCCTGGATCTTTTCAGAACTTTTAAATAATTCATACCCTGTTTTAGTTTTTCAAAAGTTTCCTGACCTTGTGGAGCTGTATAATCTCATCAGGTGTCCGTTTTATTCCTAATCAGTTAAAAATGAACCAACTTGTTGCCAGGACTGAGGTACAAACCTTTGATAATAGCTTGTTAGCTTTCTAAATGAAATGACTGGTCTTTTGAAAAAATTATTATTATAGGCATTTTACCCCCCATTTTCCTGTCTTGGTATTGGACTTCTGGAAGTCCATGTTGGCTTTTTACACAATATATCACAGATTTACTTTAATGGATTGCACCTGGAACTAGTCTCAGACGTCCCTGATCTACTTCTGATCAAATAGAGCACTGGTCGTGTGGCTTATGGTCGTTGCTCTTAGTCCACTTCAGTCTCCCAGCCAGACATTCAGTCTCTGTGCAGATGGGATTTCTTATTGGGAAGAGGCAGGAATATTCCTCAATCCAAGGTAAGTGTTACAAGGGCAGGGTTTTATATTGCTGTTTTCTGTCCAGCACCCATTTCCCCTTCCAAATATCACCTTTTGAGGAATTCCTCCTTCCCTTTTAGATGTAGTCGGGTGGGACTTCTCAGGGGCTTTCTTCTCTGCTAGCCAGTCAGAGGACTAGTGACGTGAGGGAAGCCAATTTGGACCTCCCTTCTTGGAATTAGATCTTGAGTGGAGGGATAAAAAGACTAAAACTAGTTGACATTCATTCTTTCCAATGCTTGTGTACTGATCAGACTATTATGGTTCTGTTCTGTAGACCCTCTTACCTCTTTGGACCTGCTGTGGTCCCGGCATGGTTTTCCTATTGCTCCTGGTTCAAAGAGCCCCAGCTGATGCATCTAGTTTTCTCCTAATTCTATTTGTTGGAACTTAAACAAATTGGTAGTTGAGATGACTTTGGCAGTTCCAAAATCCAGTCATATTGCTTCAACTCTAAGCAAAGGAGCATTATGAATTAGCAGATTATTTTTTGTAATTGACACAATCTAATTTTATGGTCGTATTTTGGAACCAGAACTAATGAAGAAGCCCAGACCACTTGAAGTTCTAATAACTCCTGACTTTACTATTTCTCAAATTTCTACCTTCGTGTCTCCTAAATACCACTCTATTAACTAGGTTAGCTGTAATTGGATTACTAAGTATAATTATTTTTCCTATTTTATAGCATTTTAGTCAAATCAATTCTATTTGCTTTTCGGGGAAGAATATATGTGAATCATTTTTTCCCCCCAGAGATCTTATCAGTCCTTTTTAATTGTTCTATGCTGAAGTCTTCCTCATAAAGAGCAAACCCTTTCTGATTCTGACCCCCTCCCATGAGGTCATGTTTTGCCCTTTTAGACTTCAAAGTACTGACAAGATTTTAGCTAATTTCCATTTCAGGTTTTAAGGTTATTTCAGGAAATCATCCAAGTTGCCTTTCCGTGCTTCTTTTTAACTTAGGTTTGTGTTAATAAGACAAAATACATAGTGGTTAGGAGGATAGGGTTTTGGATTAGAGTTTTGGTTTTGCCACTGACTAGCTGTATGACCAAGGTCAAGTTACTTATGCTCTCTTAAGTTTTAATTTCTTCATATGTAAAATGGGAGTTCTTGGGAAGATTCAAGGAAATGATGCATATAAAATGCTTAGCATTTGGCACAGAATAAGCAGTCAATAAATGTTAGCCATTATTATTATTACTACTACTCTGTTTCCCACTTTAAGCATTCTGGAACATTCTGTTTTATCATATCAGAACTATTTTTTGGTGCTCTAAA